TCATATCTATATAAATATGTCTATATATATATGAGCATAATATATATATATATATATATATAACATATCACACTCAGGGGAAGAGTCTAAGATGCCGACGTAGGTACGTACCATTCGTAAATGATGGATCTATAACATCAAAGGTGCCGGCTATCCCCCCAAGAATTGAGACGCATATCATATGCAATCACTTGCCATAGACATGATCACACACGTTGTGAACAGAGACACCATATGCAACGTCTCGACTCATCTATAAAGCACTCGCGCACACACGGTGCACTTACTGAGTCATGTCCTTGCGTAGCTCAACATTTACCAGACTACACACTTAACACCCCGATCACTCTGTGAACCCTAAAACCCTGCAGACAAACATGGTGTATAGTCACTAGCGGCAGCCATAACCTCTGAAGTGGGCTACATGGTGTATGCCCTACATTTACCAGACTACACACTTACCACCCCGATCACTCTGTGAACCCTAAAACCCTGCAGACAAACATGGTGTATCGTCACTAGCGGCAGCCATAACCTCTGAAGTGGGCTACATGGTGTATGCCCTACATTTACCAGACTACACACTTAACACCCCGATCACTCTGTGAACCCTTTAACCCTGCAGACAAACACGGTGTGTCTTCACTAGCGGCAGCCATAGCCTCTGAAGTGGGTTACATGGTGTATGCAATCACCTACCGGAGATTGCCGGAGATTGCTGCCAAGCCCTGTTGCAGCGGGTGCGCCAGTACGGGCGACTGTGAAGGTGTGTAGTCGTTATACTTCAGCTATCAGCTGTACACTCGTGTTGGTTCAAGAGCCGTACCTTTGTGTACTGTGTGTGTGTTGCGGAGTGTACTGAGCCTGAACATTAACGCTGGGATATGAGATGCAGTGTGGCCCAGATATATATAGGACCGGTCCCCTGCAGCTCTCTATCTCAAACTGGTGGACGTGTATGTCTGTGTATATATGGTAGTGCAAAGAACGTTGACCCAATCACTCCCATACGACCATCTGTTTTATAATTCCCTTCCGACCTACTTTCATTGTTTTTATAAGTTACTTTTATGCGACGTTATTGGCAAGCGCATCGTCTCAACTGCTCTCAACTGTATGTTCGCTGCAAGTATGCTACAGACACCAGCACACATTATTTGACCTTATTACAATCAGCCCATACCTACTCTGGCAATTTTCTATTCCCTACTACTATAGGTGATTACATACTACTTTACGTGATTACCTACTACTATAGGTGATTAACTATTACCAGTCACCTACTAATATATGTGATTACTTTTGTGACGTGTCTCTGGACGTATATTCTCCCGTTCCCACTGCGGATTAGAAGTTAGATAAATATTAGTTTAGAAGTTAAATAAATATCAGTTTAGAAGTTATATAAATATGTTATATAAATATCAGTTTAGAAGTTAGATAAATATTAGTTTAGAAGTTACATAAAAATTAGTTTAGAAGTTACATAAAAATTAGTTTAGAGGTTAAATAAATATTAGTTTAGAAGTTGAATATATATTAGTTTAGAAGTTAGATATATATTAGTTTAGAAGTTAGATATATATTAGTTTAGAAGTTAAGTAAATATTTGTTCAGAAGTGAGATAAGTATCAGTCCAGAAGTTAGATAAATATTAGTTTAAAAGTTAGATAAGTATTAGTTCAGAAGTTAGATAAATATTAGTTTAGAAGTTAGATATATATAAGTTTAGAAGTTAGAAATATATTAGTTTAGAAGTTAGATAAATATTAGTTGAGAAGTTGGATAAGTATTTAGAAGTTAGAAATTAGTTTAGAAGTTAGATAAATATTAGTTGAGAAGTTGGATAAGTATTAAGTCCAGAATTTAGGTAGATATTAGTTAAAGATATGTTTTAGTTCAGAAGTTTGATAAACATTAGTTTAGAAGTTAGATAAACATCTAGAGCGTGAATATAAAGATTTATATCCTGGTATCTCCAGGTACAGGCGAACGCAGGCTACTTTAACACTTAGCGAAGCTTCTGTTACTTAATTATCTAACCAGTTTTATCACTACAACTTCAGGGGACGCATCGGAAAGTCATGATTCACCCAAAGACGCTGAAGACCATACAGACACCACTAGTCGCGACGACTGGAATTCGGGTGAGTATATGCTCTACATTTCCGATGTTCAGTTAAGAATATATGTTGTTTCTGTTTTCGCCTGCTTGTTGTATGCTGTTTGTATTCTTGCTTTCCTGAACACGCTTAAGCCTACCTACGTATTGTGTGACACTTGACACTTAGACGTAAACGCATATCTCCCTAACCACCGCGGTGCGCAATAAGATAAGACAAAGTTGTACGCAGCGGCCTCTGGGTCCTGTCATGATCTCAGCATACCTAGCACTGACACCTAGTCACATGGTCCACTGTTTCCTTACCATCTTCAGACCATCCCCTATGGAGGAATGACTCGAGTATCTACCCATAATGACCATGGGAGCCTAGGCTAGTCCAGATATGCTCACAGTTCTAGCCGAAGCTAATAGCTACCATGGTACTATACCTAGCATTAACACCTACTCACACGCTCCACCGTGGCCATTGGTATTGCCACAGACACCTTCGCAGATGTCGCATCAGCCACCGCTGAGCTGCAGACGATCAAGGCGAAGCATCCGCAGATGAACTTGGACTGTGTCATTGGCGTAGGCCATAGCGCAGGTGGCCATCTGGCGTTGTGGGCCGCGTCACGGCACGCACAGAGACAGACCACCCCCTCGAGCACAGACAAACAAGGCGAAGAGAAGCTAGAGAAAGGCTCGGCAGGTGATGAGATAGAGACACGGGATAGTGTGTTTTCTGCTGTGGATGAGACACTCTCGGTGCCCTTTAAGGCGGTAGTGTCGTTGGCAGGCATTGGTATGTGTGTATTGGTGATATGGTGCGGTTGCCAGTTGAGTTTGTGGGGTGCAGCTGATTATGTACGACCGTGCATATGGGTGTATACATACACGATCACGGGTTTTATACTGATCTCAAGTATCCGTGTACCGAAATCTTGGGTCAGAGTTAATCACCTGGAATGGTACAGTAACGTATTTTTATTGTTGTCAGACTATATCTCGAATAGTACTGCAAGTGCGACCTCGATGTCGAGTCTTTCTGACATGCTACGCACAACACAAATGTCGCGTGTATGCATAACTTTATGCAGCTACGAGCGCGCAATAATGTTATACTTATGTAGACGAATGCGCCGGTTCACACCCGATATA